GGGCATCTCACCTGCATCCCGGGCATCCCACCTGAATCCCGGGCATCTCACCCACATCCCGGGCATCTCACCTGCATCCCGGGCATCCCACCCCCCAGGGCTGCCAGCCCTCCATGCTCCCCTTTGGCTGCTCTCAGTGGGATTTCTCTTCTGAACACTTACATATTTCAAAGTTTGTTGTTTAGAGTTGTTCTTGACTACGGGGGACAGGGACATATTTTGAGCCAGCACATTATTTCACTTTATAAATCAGCACGTTGGGGAAAGTTGACGAGTCTAAATAATTAAATTCGTGTAGATATGAAATTGTTTGACATTATTTATGAGCCAATTGACATTTGCAGCACTGTGGCTTTAGTACTCAATATACTGGGTATAATGTTGTGGGGTTACAGTTGTAAAAGTGTTCACGGTCCCATAATAAAATTGTGATAAATTCAAGTCTTTAACCTTTACAATATTTAGTACTCATGTGAAGTATTTAATAGGAGACTGTGACTTAAGGCAGACACCTGCTATCTGTAATCCTAAGTAACACTTCATGCCAAGAATGGCCTTGTTGACTTCAATAAAATGGTTGTCTAACTACCTTTTGGTCTTTTTCTTTTTTTTCTTCTAAATGCAGTAGAAACTCACCAACAGTTGCTGCAGTCATTTCAAATAACTCTTGACCTGAAAGGGAGCATAATGAAGCAGGATAATTAAATACAAGAGGTAAATGGAAGAACATGAGTGGTGCAAAACAAGATAAAATGGCCAATTGTCTCAGACAGGAGTTGCAAAACAAACACTCCAGAGTTTGAACAAGGCCTGATGGTTTAGTACTCAGTAAGAATAAAATTTGTTTGTGTTTCACTTGGATTTTTTGAAATTACTGACCATTTCATCTGGATTCTGTGTAATAAAGATGCCAGAATTTTGAAACTGCTCAGAGCAGGAATTTCTTCTAACCCAATTCTACTGGAAATAGCCCTGGGAGGAGCAAAATAGGATGAGCCAGTGTGTTAATACAGTTTCAGGCTGTATTCCCCTTTAAGCCTGCCATTTATTGCACTGCCTTAGGAATCACCCTGGAGCACAGGGATGTGCATTCCCAGCCCTGGGAGAGCACTGTGTGCTCACTGTGCTCACTGCAGTGCTGTCTGAGAGCCTCCAGAACAGTGAGCCGGGGGTTTCCCAGCAGGAGTCACGTTTTTACTGCTGCTCTGGGGCTTCCTCAGCCACTGAGCACGTCAGGGATACGTGGGAGGAGAAACAGGATTTTCTGCTGGGTGAGAATGAGACCAGGTTCTAAGTTATAGCTGTGAGCAACTGCAAAAGTTGATTTCTAAACCAAGGATAAGGAAACAACAGCAGGGGCTTCATTAATCTTTAAATTCTGTGATGCCGTGAGATTGGGTGCATGCAGCCAAGGAGCAATTTTACTTTATCCTCACATCAATGTCTCACCTTATGTCGTGGTTTGAGACCCCCAAAAATCCAATTCCCAAGTCCAAGCCCCCCCTCCCAACATCAAAACACCACCCCCTCGGGGGTTAACATTTTTTTAACTCCAGGGGGAAAAACACTTTTTTTCCCCACTACAACTTATTGCACTCTGAAGTGCCTGCTCAACAACTTCAGAAGTAGAAACACTTTTAGTTCCATGGTTAGTCAGGATACACCCAGGATGTTTTGTCAGACACATAGGACGGGTCAGAAAGATCCTGATTCAGTCACAGTTTCCATCAAAATTAACTTTATACTATTTGGAACTGAAGTGGCAAAATTTTGTTCCCCCCAGCTTGAACCCTGAAATTCACTCTTTGTAGCTCTTTATTAGTCATCATTTATGTGCTTATTTAAACACCAAAGTCACTGCTGTCTAGCCCATCTAGCATGATGGAGACTACTGTCAAATGAAGTTACTTGGTTTAATTTGCATAATTTTCAAAGTATTTTGCTCACCTGTGCTCAAAAAGAGGAAGAACAGAGAAATCATTGAGTATTATCTTTTAGAGGCCTAGACAATGCATTCATAATTCCATTATTGCTGCAAGGTAGGCTGGGAAAGGTGGGCTTGGTGCTTATTTCTACCTGGGCTGCACTGTGACAGCCTCAGTATTTTCTGTGATTTTCTTTGCCTTCTATATTATCTGTACTTAAAAAATCAGCAGCTCTGCAACTCGAGTAGGCTGAGGAGCTGGTTGGGTCTGGGTGCCTGTGTTACTGCTAATTTTGCACATCTTGCTGCAGCTCCTCAGAGTAGAGACTACTAATTAATTAAAGAGTGATTGAATCCCAGCTCACAACATAAGGCAGTCAGTGCTCCAAGCTGGTTTGATCATTAATGTTGCCCAGCAGGGAAAATACCCCCCATTTCTCTGAGAGTCCCACAGTTCTGGACAGCAGCAGCTCCACGAGCTGGCAAATCTAAATGCACTTCTCTAGGTAAGCCAGAGAGTGCCTACCATACTGAAGTGGGAAATTATAACAGTTTTTGATAATATGATGAAATAAAATGATAGGGAACTTAGATTAGCTCCACTAAGCTTGGTGCCATCACCATGGGTGGTGGCCACTGGCTGTGCACCCAATATTTAGGTTTCACTTTAGGAGGCAACTACATCTCTTAGAAGTAGAAATAAGAAATTCTGCTGCTGGGCAACTTTCCCTGGGAAAGCCAAAGGCAAATATTAAATATTTACTTGATTTTTTTTAGAGTATTATGAAATTTTATGCATTGATCCGTAAATAGAGATGATTGAATGAACTAGAGCAAGATCAGCTCACACATTATTTTACTTTCTGTGACTGCAGACAGATTTTAATCCACCAGTTTTAAACAATGAGCTGTTATACTGTTTGAGGGCAGAATAAAAGCTGTTTAACATTATGGCACACCAACACTGCTGGGTGTAAATATTGAACTGCAGAAGCACTTTTGGCAAAGGGATCCCTTTCTGCTGTGCAAGTCCCCACAAAAGCATCCTGTTGTGGGTTCAACCACAAATTACATGGTTTGGAAAAGGATATCGACCCCAACTAAATGAAATTGTGCAGTTCCTATAGAATTCCATATTGCCTGAGATGAATTCTGTGTATTTATCATAATCAATGTGGGGTCACAAGAGTAATAATGAGTGGCTGCTTCTTGTTGGGTTTTTGGAAAGGAACTAAAATATTGCTCTGAATGCTTCATTTCTGCAAACAAACAAGAGCAGAGCATCTTTCTTGGCAGCTCTGCCCACAAATATAACGAGCTTTCTGTTCAAGTTTCCAAGGCTTTTAGTGGAAGGTTTGACATGTTCTGTGCTCTAATTTGTCCTAGAGGGAATATTTAACTCGACTTCAGTGGCAGTGGGGTACAGGAAAGCAGGAGGTACTTACCAGGTCTCAGTTAAAAGTTCTTTCACTGGGTTGGCACTGTGAAAATGCAAAAATACACATTAGGTAAAATGCTTAAAAATCTTGAGGAAAGCATTTAATTAAACACACTGAAAAATTTCTGTGTAAGGAATCAAGCTCTTGACTTCACTGATTATTCTGATGTGTGTTTTTTTCCTTTTCCTACTGAATTTTTTTATTTAAAAAGGAGAGTACAAATAAAAGAGAATTGCTACTTTTAGAGAGAGATGTGAAAAAACAATGTCTGCCAAGTGTCTATTTATACATCTTTTTCCTGAATAGTTCAGCCCTCTTTGGTCCCCAGTGTTGTTAATGATAGTTTGAATGAGGTAAGTAATCAGCTGTGCTAGATTTGTGTTGAATATGACAAAAAAAAAGGAATACATGAACATAACTGACTATTTTCTAAGTATTAAAATTTTTAAAAGAATTTCCTTTGCTCAGGATCCTCATACTTCTCATTTCATCTTCCACTCTCATGATTTTTAACTCTTACAACTCATACTGTCTTGTTTTCTGCTGGTAGAAAATACTGAGTATTTTCTAAGTAGTGGACATGAAATATTCAGTATTTGTATATACCAAAAAAGAAGGCTAACTTTAGTAAAATAATGAAAAAAAGTACTTTTTTTTTTTTCAGTGGTTCCAAAACTGTGGGTCCCCATTTTGCCCGACAGTCATGAAATTTGGATATGGGTTTTTTTGAGTACTGCTGTTCCATCCAAGTTTCCTACCCTCAGGTGGAAAAAATTGAATGAATACATTCTTGGAGCTGAACAACAAAATCCTTTATGTTGATTTTTCACTCCTCTGTAGTTTTTTTAATTCTCTTTTTCCATTTCTTTTCTGATTCTCCCCTCTTTTACTTCTTCTTCTTCTTCCCCAGTCTTTTTTGGTTTTTTCTTCCTTCAAAGAGTTCCACCTTTTCCCAGCCCCTTTTTCTTGCTCCAGATCATCAGAACACATTTACTGGGCTGCAATGTGGGTTTTGATGGAGATGAGATAAATTGCCTGCTGATATTTCAATGATGGTGTTAACATAGTTAATAGGAGGGATCCTCTTCATGTTCAAGAACTGGAATTGAGAGAAGTTTAGATTTACAGTGGTACAAAAATATCAAAGCCTTCTCCCATCAATATAATCCCAAAATAACCTGAATTTCTCATTCCTTCTGAAGGGACTCTGACTTGCCCTCCTTTGTAATTGTCTGTAACAGCAAAGAGCTGTTGAAAGGCTTTGCCTCTAATTCCTGCTGCAGGCAGTGAAAAAAAGAAGTTCTTTAGATTTACAGTTGCAACCAAAGGGTTTATCAGGGCAGTGGAAAAGGCCACTTTTGAATAAGGATATAAGGTTGTGATTTGCTTCAATCCATTTTCAATCCATGGATTTGGGCTAAAAATTCCCAAAGTCACTTCTTTCAGAATTAGGTCTTTTAGATCCCAGCCCAGAAAACTCATTTTGCTTTATTATTTCCTTCCTTTTAAAGGAAATATCTAGCTATGTAATGAAGATAATATTTAATGGTTTATTTGTTGTGATGTGAGGGTGTATGTGTTTATTTTTAATGAATTTTTATTTTATTTTTAGCTGCAGTTTGACAAGCTGTTCCTGGGCATCCCACTGGATCAGTGGGCTCTGAAGTACTGGAGTGTTCCCACCTATTTATTTATTTATTGTGGGTTTATGAACACAAAATTTGTAAATTTTTATTTTTATAAAAATCTAATTAGTGACTTCTTGAGGAGGGCATTAAGGTTTTGAGTTTACAAGGTTTAAATTCGAATGTACATAACTAGAGTGATAAAAAAAGCATAACCTCAGCTTAATTTAAACTGGGAAAATATAGTGATGGAAAGATTTAGCAAATATTGGAGAAGAAATATGATCATTTTATAGGTATAAAAGGTGCATTCTTTTCATCTGCAATTACTCAGAGGTCATGAGCTACCCACAGAATCAGAGCAACGTCAAACTCCTGCCAAAGGAATGGAAAAGTGAGGCTAAAACTTCATGATTCTCCTTCTGGACAATCAGCCTATTGCAGCAATTTATTTTGTATCTAAAGGTGGAAAATTGTGCTCAGAAAGCGTCTGAGCAGCCAGGCTGGTTGTTTAAAGTGTCTGATTCACTGTGAAATGTAAAGTGCCTGGAATAAAGGAATGCCAAAAAAAAAAAAATAAAAAATAGAGGAATGAAAAATGAGATATTGCTTCAAAAATTGTGGCACTGTGCAGACGCTAATGATACATGTAGATAAAAAGGAGAGAGTGAGAGAGGAAGAAAGGCTTCAGTTCAGCTCCTGAGCTGTAATTGTACATTGCCATTATGCTTTCCCACTTTAATTGTGTCATCCAGCTCTTTTATAAAGCCCCTTCCACAGCAGTCTGGCACTTTTGTTGTTCCAGAGATCAGACACAAACAAAACCCCAGTGCTGGGCACAGTGGGTATGTGTTTTACACCAACACCATGCAGTAATATTTTAAAAGTTAGAAGCCTTTCTTTACTCAAAATAGAGCTTGTCTCAAAACAGCCCCAAGCTGAAAGAGAAAATAAAAAAAAGCTTTTTTTCTTCGAAGAAAATATTGATTTCAAGGGCATGCAAAGCTAAATTGAGGTGAAGATAACAGTTTCTAACCAAAACACCACAGCCTAAGAACACTTCTTAGCCTTGAAATCCTTAAAAGAATTGCATAAATAATAAATAACACAATGGATATTACAGAATGTATCATATACACTATTTCATATATACTCATGAAAGTTTCAGCCTGTTGAGTGAATCAAACCTTGCCAAGCCACATAGGAAAGCTATCAATTATTTCATTTACAGTTATTTACTGCATGATTTTAAATCTATTTCCTGCAACATATCTACAGTAAAATAGCTGCCATAATAAACACTGTAATATCCACTCTCACAAACTTGCATTTTGTATTTCATCGTTAGGACAAAGGCAGAACAGACATTCAGTGTTATTTTAACTCATGATTAAAATCCTGGGTACTTCTTTCTCTCCCAGAAGTCACAAAGATCTGTGTTCTTTCCCCAATAATTTATTTACTACAAGTAAATAAATTCCCTTTAGCGGGAGCCAAGAACCTCCCAAGGTGGTGCTGAATTCTGGGTGACCTTTCCCACCCAGAACTCGGAGCTGTGAGACATGAACAAAAACATCCCCATATTTCCAAAATATTTACTTTGGAAGGTAAATTTACATTTACATGCTGAGCAATCCTAGAGCTTCTGTCACAAGGGGACACAATGTTTAATAAATTTATAAATTTAATAATTATAAATTTATAAATTTAATCATTGTAAATTTAATAAATTTATAATTTAATAAATTTATAAATCTATAAATTTTAATAAATCTATTCAATAGATATGTAAACATGTAAAGCAGAAGTTGTCATTTACAGATGTTTAAAGTATAATTTCAGCAAATACAAACTTTTGTTTTTAAATTCCTCCCCATTTCAAAAATACTTGAAATAAATTGAAGCATCTCTATCAAAACTCAAGGGTTTTAGATTCAATTAGTCACTTCATTGAAAGGATCTAATTTCTGGGAAATCTAATTTTTTTTTCCCCGCAAGGCCAAACAGTAGAAACATTTTCTTCTCAGAATAACATCCCACAGAGAGATGGACTTGCACAAGTCAGCTTTTATCTCTGCAAGACTGTGCAACTAAATGTAGGGATCACTTTAAGGATGAAAGCAGGGTGGGAACTTCATGGGATGCTGAGGTGATTTTGTATTTCATTTAACATTTCTTGAGGAAAAAAAGCAGCTCAGAAGCTGAAATTATTCATTTCAGGCTCAGGCAGAGCTGGAAAATCTTAGGGCTGAGGTGCTGTGATTATATCAGTAGAGGATGTGAAAAGAGAAAAACAAGTTATGGGGCAAATAAAGGGGATCCCAGCGGAGCAAAACCTCGGTGCGACATCTGGGTTTGTCTTGCAGCTGCTCTGGAGTTCTTTTCCTGAGGAATCCCCTGAGGAAAGGTTTTAAAAACAGCAATATTGCATATGTATATATGTTTATAGGTAGCACAGCCTGCTGGGAGGGGGGTTGTTGTGTGAAATGTTATTTGGTGTCTGTCATGTATATTTGGGGGATTGTTCTAAACTGTAATAGGCTGCTACCCTGAACTGAATGCCTGTGAGGTCACTCATTAGGTGAGTTTTTAATTAAAAAAATAAGATTAGTTTCTAGTTTACAGATTGGGTGGAGCTTCCAGTTGGTTTCATCCAAATAAACCTCAGTTTCTGTGCTCTGAGACACGAGGACATCAACCAAAATGTGGAAAGTGGAAATCATGTGGAGATTCTCTCAAAACACACTGTCCTGGTGGTCACACTCATGAGGACACAAGTTCAGACCCTGCCTCAGTTCTGAGAGCAGCACATGCTTCTGTATCCACTGAGGCTTTGGGGTTCCCAAACCCCAGAGACAATCCATGGAGTGCCCAGCAGGTGTTCACTGGAGCTGTGGGTACATTTGGGACCCTTTTGCCATGACATGATGCTTGGCTGATCCATCCACTCTGCCACAAAAAGGTACCAAAGAGGGAGATCACAGACATTCATTCCCATTCTGCTTCTCTGAATCCCTTCTCCTGTATTTATCTGTTGACCAAAGCAGAGTGGAAATGTTAAAATAGATGTCTGGGACAGCTGGAGTGACTGAAAACTGAAATAGAAATACTTCTCATTTATATTTGGGCTTCCTATGCTCTGTTTTTACAGTGGTTCACTTCTGAAAGGAGGATGCCTTTACTGGGGAAGAAGAGCCAAGAAGATCAGGAAATGGGAAATAAATTCCAGTGCTATAGACAGGTTAATCCCTATTTTCCATCTTGGTTGGGGTCTGGCATTGTACCTGCACCAGAAACTGAGCTGAGGAACAAAAGAGGAAGAAGTTCAGAAGGATTTATTTAGACCTCTTGCTGATCAATGCATATTTAGTCTACTTACAATTTTGGACTAAACAGATGAGCAGGACCAAACAGTATAAGAAAAGCAAAAGACAGTCATATTGAATAAAATACCTTCAGCTGAGATAATTTTCCATGTGATGTGGGGATTTGTGGCACACACTGGCAAGGGGAGCCCAGCTGGAAGATTTCTGTCAATCCAGCAGCAATTCATCCCTCCTGGAATCAAGAAGGGAAGCAAATATGCTGTGTGCAACTGATAACATGGACCAACACTAAAGCTGAATTAAGAACAGAACATAACACGTTTTTCTGGTGTGAAAACCTAACTGAATAAGGACTGGATTTCAGCATCTCAGCTCCTCTCTACTCTTGTGGTCTGTTATTGGCAGCATCCTGCTCCAAGCTGGTCCCTGAGCATCCCTAAAAGATGTGAGAGCTCAAAGAAGCAACAGATATAATCTAGAAGTGTGCTACAGCAGAACAGGGCTAAATTTGTTTGTCAGTTAGTTGTTAAAAAAATAAAATAACTCCAGGAGTCTTTGGTCTGTGGTGGTCAGAGACCTGTGTGAGAAGGAAATAAGCAGCAGCCACCAAGACTTTATCTCCTCTGCACGAGGGAAAATCACACTTGACTGCGGGGAGAGGTTAAAGGGACAGGTCAGAAGTGGCTCAGGAGACAAGAGGGAATCTCTCAGAGAGGTTTAACTAAAGCCCTGGGATTTAGGGCCCAAATCCCTGAAAGAAGAGGAGGACAAATGCTGCTCTAATGAGCTCTAAAGCCAATTATAAATGGCTTCTTCTGCTTGGTCATGAAGCTCCACGTGGCAGGTGCAAGCAACATGTGGGGTTTTAAATTATCCAGATTTGTTCCACAGCAGAAAAAAAAATACATCCCTGTTACTTCTTTTTTTATGAGATCCACCTCTGGCACCTTTTGCTTAATGATCAGTGCAATATAAAACATCAGTCACTGCTGCAAAAAGGAGCACAAACAAACCACTTTTACTCCACTGATTTATCCCCAGTGTGGCTGCAAGAGGGAACCTGGGAAATGCCTCTTCCTGGCCCCGTTAGAAGCTACAGGTTATAAGAAGCACATTTTCAATATTTGCTCTGTGAATCTTGGCTCAGGGCTATCGGTGTTTTTACAGTAAAGTCTCTTGCATGTATTCAAAACTTAATTCCTTTCTGAGCCCCCTCAGATCTGTGTCAATGAATGGTTTCTTAAGAAGCTGTTAGTACTTAAAAAAAGGCCTTTGACTTTTCAAATGAGAAGGTATTTTTTTAAAAATAAATTGAAGAATGCTTTCATCACATTTGAGGGACTCAGAGAGTGGGAAGGAGAAAAGTTAAGTGGGTGTTTTTTCCCTCTCTAGTGTTCCTAAACTTTAAGATGTTTGAAAATTCACCAGTAAATAAAGCAACCTAACTAAAAGGCTTTTTTGTCCCCTCCTGCACACATTTAGAGATCTTTGTGGGAAAGTCAACTCTCATATAACAGAAAATGATGTTCCTTTTATGCTGTTTTATGAGCTGAATTTCACAGGAAATTCTCTGGAGTCTCTTCCCCCAGGAGATTCTGCTACTGTATAAATAATATTTGGCCATATCTGCTCCATTTCTGTGCTACACAAGTCCAGAGTAAAACCAGTCTTAAATCTTCATTCAGTTTTTCTTGCACTTCCATACTGTGGCAGATTGGAGATTGCCCAGCAGTTAATAAGCTAATAAATATAACATGAAAGTGCTTAATGCATTCTATTTATCAGTATTTATAAATCCTATTACAAACAGCCCTCAGAGAATACAAATTAAGTCGCTGTTCCTGCCTTATGTGGTGTTGATATAAAGAGCAGTCCTGGGCCAGGAAGTTTACATTTTTATTGGCAGGTCAGAGAAGAAATAGGGAAGGATTAATGTGCTGGTGTCAGGTATAAAAAGGGCCAATCTGAAAAGCATTTTTCATTTCAGCCCTGTTGGCTGTCCGAGAAATCTGGCTGCTAAACAAACCCTAACTCTAGATGTTTATCCAAGAATCTGAATTCAGCATGGTGTTCATTTCACCTGAATTCCTCATTTCATATGTTGTGTAATTTAAGATGGTCATTCACACTCCCTTTAAAGTCAGGGGAGAAAGTGGCACCTTCACAAAGCAGGTCATCCTCTCTATTCTTGGTTTATTCAGATTTTACGATGGGACAAATTTCTTTATGAGGTGACAAGTGGTGATATGATTGAGTTTAATGCTATTCAGGAATATAAAAATAAAGGCAGAGGAACAGAAGCTAACTAAAATATTTTAAGGTTTTAGTTCCCACGAGGATTAAAATGCTTTCTAATGTTGCCTTTTTTCTTATTATTATTTCACTTTTGCTTTGTTTTAAGCTAGTCTGACAGCACTTGTTAGTAAGGCTTAAAAATAATCCCACTGTGAAACATCTTTAAAAATATGCAAGGATTGTATTCAGTGGAGTCATGTAAACCATAAGATCATTAAACTGTAATCACTTACTTACATGTCCAAGATATTTTATGTTACCAGGCTCCCCAACTTGGCACTGAGAGTGACACTGCACTTGGAAGAGGGACTTCAAGCTGATTTAAAACTTCTTGACAGAGGGTGCAGTCAAGCCTAGAGAATTCTGCTTTGTCACAGATTTTAGCAGATCCCAAACATTATTATCTATAAGAGTACAAAGGTTAGTTCACAAGTCAGGGGTAATGATTAAATATTGCAATAAAAGGAGGTGGAATTTTAAAAGAGAGCTAAAATTCCTTTTGAAGGTTGCAGTTTCCAACCCCTCCTCTGGCAGGGGCACCATTTCAGTTTTGAATTTTAGGCAATCACTGCTTCTCCTAACTTGCTGCCCCTGTTTCTCACCAGGATCCCCAGCTGGATTCAAATGATCAATCTCTCAAAATCAACACAATACATAAATGTGCAGTGGCACCAGGAAGACTTTTGTACCCAACCTGACGTTTATTATTCATTTGGAACGTGTTATTTTAGGATCCTGAAATCAGAAGGAAAAACAAAATAGAAATTAAAAATATAATTTCAACTCCCCCTCTGTGCTGCTCTGGGATGGAATTCTTACATTCTGAGTGGCACTCCTGCTGTTTTCAGAGGTTCCATTCCTGTCTGGCAAAGGCTAAAAATATGCCTGGTCACCAGTGCATCCAAGGTAATCCTATTCATATGTTGATGGTCCTTGAAAAGCCCTTCATTCCAACCTGGCAATGCCTACAAGTCACCTCATTCTCTTCCATTCTGCTCCTCTAGAATAGAATTTTTTCCCTCAGCCCTGACAGCATCACAGCAAATGGCACGAGGAGCCAATGTGACAGTGTTCAAAAAGATGAATGGGGAGAATGAACCATATCCATATTTCATGAGAGTCAGGCTAAAATTCACCCCCCTGGCCCACAGCTGCTCAGAAATTGTGCCACTGGTTTAAAAATAATGAAATTTTCAACGTAGAACTTGAATTCTTTTGTATTCACACCAAAGGCATCTTTACTTGCAAGTGGGGGTGATAAACTCTGCCCTGGGGTGGAATGGTCCAGTGGGCAGGGACACAGACAAGGGTGAGAGAGAAGAAAGTTGTCTTGACAGAGGAATAGAAATTCCTGAAACCTAATTCTCAGTCTTTGGCTTTTTAGTTAAAAGAGAAAATTTTTCTGGTGAGCTCTGAGAGGATCCTGAGCATTTCCCCTCTGAGAGCAGCTCCAGGCCAGCCCAGCAAAGGGCTGCCCCTTCCCACTGGGAGAGCTCCCACACCCCACTGCCCCTGGGAGCTGCTTGGTGCTCAGGCCTGGCTTGATCTCCAGCCCCTGCCACTCCACAACCACCCTTCTGCACCCTGACAAAATTTTCCTACAGGAAACACAGCTTCTGTTACAAAAGACAAGAATATATTGTGTAGAAATGCAATTAAGGATATAGCTCTGGAGAAAAACAGTTGTAGCACCCCCATAACTAACTATAATCTCTTAGCTCTGATAAATGGTTACAGAAACTGGGGCCAAAATACTCTGTTGCATTTCCAGAATTACATATTGAGCTGTCTAAAGGCTCCAAGTGGTTTTTTTTTTCCTGAAGCACTTGCTCCTCATATATTGACTTCCCCAGTAGCACCTCAGGTCTGCAATGTTACAAAAATCAATGGTTTTCCACACCTGAGCTTCTGTTCCATCATTTCCCCCCTTGCCAGGCAGTGGGACTGTCTCAGGAAACATCAGGATCCCCCAGAAATGAATGCAGGTCACGAATTATTGAAGAGAAGCATTAATATCTACAGAATTAATAATATATGTCGAGGCAAAGTCTCATTATTTTCCAGGCCTCTTCTGTGACTTGACTCATTGCTCTTTGCATGCAAAATTATACTCACATAAGCCCCATTAGCATCAACTAAATGTTGTTTTCACAAATCCAAATGTTAACTCACTTTTTTTTTTGATACTTCAGATTGGGTCCATGGAATCCACTGTAGCAAAACTCTTTTTTCTTTTTTTTTTTTTTCTTTTTTTTCTTTTTTCTTTTTTTTCTGTTTTTTTCTTTTTTTCTTTTTTTCCTGGTCCACCAGAGGTTTTGTGCATCCCTAAAGTTTTAAAGAGAGGAGGTTTGGGGGGGAAAAAAGAAGTACATTTATATAATTTGCATTTGAAAGTTAAAAAAAGATTAGTCAGGGAGCCATGAGAGTTGGTATAAATTCTTTTTTTTGCTGTGACAGGCACCTGAGGATAGTGAGAAGATAAAAGGAAGTTGGGAAGAGGGAGTCAAGGGATGTCAGGAGGTGATAAGGCTGAGTGACAGTACATTTGTTAATAGTGACATTAAAGCTTTTTGCTTTGTCATACACAGCTCTAGAAGCAGGACTATGTGACAGCTTCCCCATGCAGCCTTTTTGGCTCTTTGTGGAGACACAATCCTCTCAGAAAAAAAATACCATCGCTCTGAATTTAAACATTTGGCAAGGATCCCAGGAAAGACATTTCACTGAGGGACAAAATGATGTAGGTATTGAACCAGCAGATAAAGAAACACATGTTCAGAACCACATGTGGAGAACAGAGCAAGGAAGGAGTTATCATATATAATACACATTTGTATCTGACTTTTCCCTTCAAATGAATCATAACCACTATTTTGAAGAATGTGTGCTACATTTTGTAGTGTAACTGCAA